CCTTTGAATACAGTTCTCGGCCTCTACGGATTAGCTGCACCAGCTCCGGTGAGGATTCCCAATTTATTAATTGGTGAAGGGATCTCGATAGACAATTAAGATTCGTTCTGATACGTTCTCGGTTCGTCGCTCTCTGTCGCTCGCACTATTTGCCGGACTCTTACTCCGACCCTCTCTACCTCAAACCTAGCAGCCTGAGCGGCCGTGCATTTCCGTAACCGTCCGCTCCCGTTCGTGTATTCAGATGCGTTTGCTCATTTTACGCGACCCCAAAGATCAGCACCTACGGTTGCGTTTCTCGATTTTACGCGTCCCCAAAAATCGACAGGATCCGTTAAGCTATCGCCTCTTCTGATAGGTTCCGTCAGAGCTCTCGTTCTTGGTGGAGTTGGGCCTGTTCCATCCCAACTCCCAGTTTATACCGGCTCGTCAGTTCCCGGTGAAAAAAGAATTGACTGGCGCCCGCCTGGCTTGCGGATGCACGAACGACGGGTGGACGGCCGAAGGTAACGTAGGTTGGTTCTCGAAGATAGTCGTTCCCGTATGTTTTGCTATCGGTGTCGGGTCAAGTTAAGGAAATACGTTACAAAGTATATCGTCGGCGAATGAGCGAAGCGAGTGACTCCAACTGAACAGAGCATTATATGTTTGAAAATATTTCATTAGATGAAGGTAACTTTCAATATCATTGAACGAATGATAGAAGATCGCTCAGAAAGCAAAAATTCACATTTGTGTCCAATTGGATCTATGCGGCACTGGGCTTCACTCGTTTCCTTGTTAGAACTCCGTACAAATTCCTAAATAACTACTTACTCTATCGCAATCATTCTGTAAGTCTCGCGATTAAAGAGATGAATTATATTTATTTAGCTATGTTCAGTATGTATGCATTCCTAAATATTTCTTTTTTTAGTATTATCGAACTTGCCTCATACGTGTAATCGCTTCATTATCCTCTGGAGAATGATGTGCCCAATTGCTTTTAACACTAACTATGTTCAATAAATCATCTTAATTTTATCTATCAGTGTGTGTCCAATTCCACAGTCTGACACAACGTTGTCAAATTGTACACAGAACCGTTCACTACATTAATATTGGACACTGTTCCGATGTATCCAACATTATCGTACTCAAAATGGTCTGTATTTAATTCTAATATGTCGTATCTGCACTGTGTCCAATCTCGTTGTGTCTAATGATGTGTGTCCGTTAGGACATGTGTGCAATCGGGATGTATGACAGTGGGCATTACATTTGACGCGTAATGCGACGATTGGCGAATATTTTTTCGATGATGATTGGCCCACCTTGATAACTAGGAGCGCGCTTAACGAGCGCATAGAAGAGTACCCCTCGCACGAAATTCATTGCACGTTCGTTTAAGTCGAATGATCGTAATTTATTGAAATTTTAATTTATGATAAGTGCTTTACTGTCCTAAGGATGAAATCTTTTTCGTCTCTGTGGCTTTGATAGATCTTTCTCGTTTCTTTGCTCCGAGTTTGAGATTAGCAGCAGACTGCGTATCGCTAAAGGGAAACGATTCAGAACCTTAGCATCTGAATATATCTTATTTCTCGATTGTCTTCCCTATTAAATTAAATAGCTTCATGCCTGAGTGATCCTGGAGAATTGTCCTTAGAATCAGTTAACCGTACTTCTCGCATGGTCATACATCAGGGTATTCACAAAATATTATTTAACTTTTTGATCATGCATATCTTTCCTATTATTTCGGTTTCTTTCATATAATCTTTTTCGTTATATTATATTTTATATTCTCTATCGTGTGCTATTCACTATATTTTATCTCTTTATGAGACACGAAATTTACTGTACTTTGTTTTATTATGTACGCTTTCCTATCTATCACTCTGCTACATCTATGCTAATAATTGTACGCGAACTGCGTGGAACGTTTCATTCTTTTCAAGGGATTACGTTGATCTTTCGTAAAATCCATCACGCGTGTTTCGGCGTCACGAATGAGTATAATTTCTGATAAACTGTTATGCCCTAAGCGTTACTTAGTTATTTACTAGGTTAGCATTCTTAGTACCACACGATAAGTAACCCTTTATCAGCAAAATTGTACTAAGGCGTAGAAGCTCTACATTATTTAGATGCAACAAAAAGTTAGTCGTCGAACTGTAGGGTCCGAGAGAGCAACGTCCGCTCATAAAAGCAAAATAGAATAAAATTGTGCCATTGTTAACGAAACAGAGATACAATAAAAATAGTTTGTTTTTGCTATTTTATTATTATTAAAAGTGTTGAAGATTACTTTATAACATCCTCACGGCATAACAAGAAATTTGGTGGCAAAAGAAAGGATCTCAAGCCAGTACGGAAGCCGAGTGCACCAGAAAATGAAGATAATAACGTTACTGTAAGTACCACAAAATCAAAAGAAACTATTTACTTATGAACAGCCGGGAATTCACAGAATACAGACAAGTAAAAGAAATGATACTATCTGACGACTCTATTTCTCTTGATTCCGTGGAAGACATTAACGAACCAGATAATAAACAACAATTTTCTAATACAATGACAGACCGTCGAATTCTCGAAACTCTAACAAGTCATATTGCGGCTTTACAAGAACAAATAGAAACATTGACCATAAGAATGGAAGAATGCGACGCGAAACAAGATTTTTAACTCGTCAGCGGAAACGATGATTCCACATTAGACAGAGAAGATAATACAACATCATTTGCTATGAAGAATTTAAAATCACATCTTGAAATAATAACGGAATTTGAAGGCAATAATATCTCAGTAGAGACATTCATTTTCGAAACAAAAACGGTTTTAGATGAAATCCCAGAAGATCTAAGAAAAACATTTATTCGCCTAGTTATTTAAAAAAAAATTATTAAACAAGCAAGGAACATGATTGATGGATAAGACATTAGATCGCCGGACGACTTATTTCAAGCGCTCCGCAACAGTTTCGGCGAAATTAAGTCCTTCGATGTAGCTACCCTCGAAAGAAGTCAATGTCAACAAGGCAACGATAACGTAATATCGTATAGTAAAAGGTTTAATGAGGCACATCTGAATGTAAAAAGGGCGATCAACAGTAATCCAGAATTCGACTCAAATCACCGTACGATCAGCTTAATCAACGAAGAAAGACAAGGTGTAGTACAGTATGTCCGAGGCCTTCGTCCAAGTATGAAACTATTTGCTAAGGCAGGAAAACCAGCAATGACCTGTGAAGCGTAAAATTTAGCATTAGAAACCGAAAAGAAAGAAACAACGTCGGGAATTGTCTATAAAAAAACCTTTGTTTGACACCTCAAAACTTGCACCGAAATTCGGTAGTACACAAAACGCGAGTTCAAAGGTCTACAAACCAAACCAACAAAACAATACGTCCACCAGCAAAAATCAATTTACCTGTCACGGGTGTGGCAGTACAGAACAT